CACAGCAAAGTACAGTACAGCACAGGACAGCACAGTACAGTACAAGAAAGTACAGTACAGGACAACACAGTACAGCACAACACAGCACAGTACAGCATAGTAGTGCACAGTACAGTACAGCACAGTACAACACAGTACATTACAGTACAATACAGCACAGTACAGCACAACACAGTGCAGTACAGTACAGCACAACACAGTACAGTACAGTACAGTAAAGTATAGTATAGTGCAGTGCAGTGCAGTGCAGTACAGTACAGTACAGCACAGTACAGCATAGTACAGTACAGCACAGCACAGTACAACACAGTACAGTACAACACAGTACAGTACAACACAGTACAGTACAGTACAGCACTGTACAGTACAGCATAGTACAGTACAACACAGTACAGTACAGCACAACACAGTACAGTACAACACAGTACAGTACAGCACAACACAGTACAGTACAACACAGTACAGTACAACACAGTACAGTACAGCACTGTACAGTACAGCATAGTACAACAGCACAGTACAACACAGTACAGTACAGCACAGCATAGTACAGCACAACACAGTACAGCACAACAGTACCAGAAATATTTGTTTATATAAAGCTGGTGATTATGTAACAGTGGTCATGAAAGGTAAGCGTCTAAACTTAGGTTATGTTGTGACTTAATAAGATTTGACTCGTCATTTGACAAAAACAATAGGACTGTGCTAATGTTTGCTTGAAATAAAGCCTTATAAACTAGTACCTACAACAACCTTACCAACAAGGACTTACTTTAACACAACTTAAAACATATTTAAACTACTGTACTGTAAAGGGTTGGGAGGCAATAAAGGCAAAAAGTTCCAACAACTTCACAGATGACAAAAAAAAAAATAAATAATAAAAAAGATTGAAAATAAAATATTTTCTTTTTTCTGACATACTCTATAGCCAGGCAGATTGTGGTGTTACTGTACAAGGTCCTCAGACAACCCCTCATCACACCACTGGAAAATGAGGTGTAACAGCCGTCCTCCACACGAGGTCCTATTAGGAGCCATGTCTGACCAATCTGTACAAAGGTTTATGTAGGAGTGTACCATCTTGTTCCAGTTAGTCTGTCATATTCAAAACAGTTCCTAGCCACCTAAGCTATGACACCCAAAGGGAAGGAAACCTGGCTAAGTCCTCTACCACCAAAAGAAAATCAAGATCATTCTCTGCCTGTGTTAGTGTGGTCCTCTGTTAGGTAGCTTCTTATTATCCAAAGCCAGCTGGACAAGACAGAGGAGGAAGCACCAAGACGAGCCAGAAAAGACTCCCTTAGCCGTGACTACACTTTTCATCAACAACAATAAAGACCAGGAGTCTACAACAAGCTCCCTTAACTCTCCCTTCATGTTAACTTTAATATACCTTCAGTAATCACTGCCCCAACTGTCTGACCTTTGAGAGACAAGTCTAGTTAACAAACTTGTGATGGGCAGACTGCATTAGTACTCTACTGTAAGAGAGGGAAGAATTAAAGGTCATAACAAAGAACAGACCAACTGCCTTCAATTATATATACAGTATTAGTTATCTTTAAGTCAGATGATTCATATTAATGTATGCTCAATAGCCCATAAAACCTGTATAACTCATTTTGATTCACCCATTGACATGTACGCTTTCTCTCACATGTTCTAACATCCCATTCCCCCCCAAGAAAGGCCATGTTAATGTATGTAAGATATGTACAGTAAACCTCCTGTTAGCTGAAGCATTCAAGATCTATTGAGTGTTGTGTTGACAGCTTCAAATATATTTTATTTTCTGAAAACTGCACTATAAACTAAACTTAGTGGTTGAGCTAGTAAACCTGAGATCCAGTTGTTGCCTCTTGTCAAATTATCAACTCTCAGTTTGCCAACAAAATTATATTTCCTCAATCTAAAGAATTCAGAGAAGCTGATAGATACAAGTATATTGAAAATGTTGTCAAGGTGATATTAAAGAAGTTTAACAGCCCACCCAGCCTCTCCTCCTACGACAGCTTTCAACACAAAACACACTGGTTTATGAGCCATTGTACCCAACAAGTGTATCTTCTAACATACTGGTGAAGAAGATCAAGCCTCCAGGTTCTGCACACAGTTAGAATAAAGGTACAGTACAGGTTGTACCTCTCTAGTCCGGCATTCGGAAACTCCCGTGGTTTTAGTTTGTCCAATAGGTAGATAGGCAGTTTTTGTTTTGTTTTTTGTTTTGTTTTACATAACTTATCTGAATTATTATTATTATTATTATTATTATTACAGGAGTATTAAATTTTCGCCCCTCAGGCCCCAATGTGGGTCAGTGACCTATACCCGGGTGGGCTAATCCCCGTAAAAAAACAACAACAAAGCCTTGGGGAAATTAAAGTAAGTCTCTCTCCTCTCTCTCTCTCCTCTCTCTCCTCTCTCTCTCTCTCTCTCTCTCTCTCTCTCTCTCTCTCTCTCTCTCTCTCTCTCTCTCTCTCTCTCTCTCTCTCTCTCTCTCTCTCTCTCTCTCTCTCTCTCTCTCTCTCTCTCTCTCTCTCTCTCTCTCTCTCTCTCTCTCTCTCTCTCTCTCTCTCTCTCTCTCTCTCTCTCTCTCTCTCTCTCTCTCTCTCTCTCTCTCTCTCTCTCTCTCTCTCTCTCTCTCTCTCTCTCTCTCTCTCTCTCTCTCTCTCTCTCTCTCTCTCTCTCTCTCTCTCTCTCTCTCTCTCTCTCTCTCTCTCTCTCTCTCTCTCTCTCTCTCTCTCTCTCTCTCTCTCTCTCTCTCTCTTCCTCTCTCTCTCTCTCTCTCTCTCTCTCTCTCTCTCTCTCTCTCTCTCTCTCTCTCTCTCTCTCTCTCTCTCTCTCTCTCTCTCTCTCTCTCTCTCTCTCTCTCTCTCTCTCTCTCTCTCTCTCTCTCTCTCTCTCTCTCTCTCTCTCTCTCTCTCTCTCTCTCTCTCTCTCTCTCTCTCTCTCTCTCTCTCTCTCTCTCTCTCTCTCTCTCTCTCTCTCTCTCTCTCTCTCTCTCTCTCTCTCTCTCTCTCTCTCTCTCTCTCTCTCTCTCTCTCTCTCTCTCTCTCTCTCTCTCTCTCTCTCTCTCTCTCTCCCTCTCTCTCTCTCTCTCTCTCTCTCTCTCCTCTCTCTCTCTCTCTCTCTCTCTCTCTCTCTCTCTCTCTCTCTCTCTCTCTCTCTCTCTCTCTCTCTCTCTCTGTTTGTCTATACAAAGTACAACATTTAACCCTTCAATATATATGAGCAGTAAATAAGAGTTGCTTTCATATTCTTATGTAGAGTAATGACGATATGTTTTCACATGTGCACACTTACATATGCGCATGATCTCACTTTTTTCTTTACCATTAATGGTTAGCTACTTATATTGTTCCATTTATTAACATTAAATAACATTACTTCAAACAACCATAATAATTTTTTACAGTAATTTTACTACAGCTACAATCAGGGTCTTATTTTCTTCAGTTTTATTTGTAGAACCAGTCAGTCACTGGTTTTGTAAGCATTAACGAAAACAATGCCGGCAGCCGTCTCGTCTCCTCGTGTGTTTTAATATTCCACATATTATTAATGAATTGTATTGTTCATTTTGCACACACAAACATTAAGTCAATAAAAAAAATCAGAAACATTAATCAAAATATATAACAACAGTAAATAAGTGTTGCTTTCATATTCTTATGTAGAGTAATGACGATATGTTTTCACATGTGCGCACTTACATACGCAATCTCTCTTTTTCTCTTTACCATTATCGTTAGCTACTTCTATTGTTCCATTTATTAACATTAAATAACATTACTTAAAACAACCATATTAATTTTACTACAGCTACAACCAGGGTCTTATTTTCTTCAGTTTTATATGTAGAACCAGTCAGTCACTGGTTTTGTAAACAACGAAAACAAAGCCATCTCGTCTCCTCGTGTTTTTTAATATTCTACGTATTATTAATGAATTGCATTGCTCATTTTGCACACAAACATGAATTCAATAAAAAAGACATTCAGTAATAAACAATAATGAATCCTTTGTACATAAGAGAAATGACGCTGTTTACATGATTGTGCACGTCTGAACGTTGGTGAGCCGTTCAAACCCGTCGAAATTCGAGTTTCCGCCGTCAAAATTTTTAATTGTTTTATTTTTTGTGTGTTCCAATAAAAAACATTGAATTAAAAACTCGTGAAATTTGAGAAGCTACTGTACAACATTTAACCCTTCAATATGTCTTCAAAGAGACCATGAAGCAGAGAAAGTGGTGCTAGTGCTTCCAAGCGTAACCACAAGTCACTATCTATCCAGGAAAAGGGTGAATTTCCATGGTCCGGCACTGGTCAGGTCCCGAGGTTGCCGGACTAGAGAGGTACAACCTGTATTACTATTTCCTCTCACCCAACAAGTACAGCTACAATTACCACAGTTGGCTACAGATCTCCCTGATGACTTTAGGAATTATATAATTATTAATATCAAACAGCAGCCAGCCATCAACAAGGATTAGGATATTTATCATGCTGAGCCACTTCTCAACAAGCTCAGTTGCCAGGATAGGGTGTTCCTGTGTCCAATAGCAATGATCTTCACTGAGCCAAGGATCAAGTTGTATACTGCAAAAAATCACCAATATGTGTGAGACTAAGGTACTGTGCTGTGCTGTGCTGGTGACGTTATCCATCACAAGGCACAGGGCTGTTAGGGCATCCATCCAGCACACAGTATAAAAACGCCTGGACTCGATAAGATTGGCAACAACATTCTAACTTAAATGTTAATTAATACTGAGGTCTGCTGTGCTTGTTGCCAGTAATCTTGGGTGTGTCACAACAATGGCTGCACATTTAACTTTTTGTTGAAACTAAGCAGACTACGGGAGAGATAGTCTGAGATACAGTACACTTTCAATGGAGTTTGGCTGGGAACTGACTCAAAGACAGCAGACTAGGGGAGAGTTAGTCTGAGATACAATACACTTTCAATGGAGTTTGGCTAGGAACTGACTCAAAGACAGCAGACTAGGGGAGAGTTAGTCTGAGATACAATACACTTTCAATGGAGTTTGGCTAGGAACTGACTCAAAGATAGCAGACTAGCTTGAAGAAAATGGAAGGGCCATAGTTTTTGGCATGGACTGTGCTGCTTGGTGAGGCAGTGCTACTAACAAGACTTCAGTATTTATAGAGGACAACTACCCACCCAGTCTGAATAATTGTAGGTTCTCTGAGGACGATGACTGCCCGAATTGACAGCCTGTATTATGAGAAGCTGCCCGGATAAAGACATGAGTCAGAAAATTATAGTTATAAAGGACAATATATGAGGAACAAGTGTGCAGTAATACATAGCATATACCTGTATATGCCTTTACAGTTATTTCCTGAATAAAAGTAAATTAATAATACTATCTATGTTCATATCTCCACGTATTAGCTCGGATCAGAAGCTTGCACGGCAGCGTCCTCGAGGGCGGCCAAGACGATCTGAGGGAGGTGATGACGCAGCATGAAGGGAGATATTAGGATCTGAGAGAACCCCTTCATCTCACCCCAAGTGAACTCCCACTCTCCAGTGCTGCCATCAAGCCTGGTGGAGATGATAATCATAAGTCTAGGATAAATTTTGTACAATGATCAAGAAGGAACCATAGTTTGTTAATGAACACAAATTATGGAGGGCTAAGGAGCAGAAATAACTTTTTTCCTCATGCAACAAAGTTTTCCACGGGAAACTTTTGTAAACTTTCTGCTGAGCAACAATTAACAAGATGACCTTTTCCTAACCTTCCTGTATTTACTACCTACACATAAGCCAGTTCCTCAATTTATATTTCTGTTTCCAACTCCACAATGCTCCTTGCTTCGTCCCTCATCCAGTTGTAGTCACCAACCTTGTCCTGCTGTTGTCATGTACCAACTACCAATTAAATCTGAAGAACATCATCGAGTGACGGTTAGTGTCAATGTTCTAACTTGGCCGCCGGGTCTTCCTCGTTGGTTATGATAGATCCGGTGGTTTGCTCCCCTCTACAGTACTGTATAGTGAGTTTTATGTTTAACACTCTTGTCATTTTCTTAGGCAGAATTGTTGGAGGGTTTCCATCGGCAAATTTGTGTATGAAGTCAAAAATTTTAATCATTTTATGTTTTTGTATGAACACTAGACATGCAAGACACATATTTAGCAATGTGGGCACGATCTGACAACTATGTAGACTATACTCCAAGGTTACCACACCAGTCTCCCTTTTGTGTTTGAACCATGCCCCATGTTGCTGGCAAGGGTGGAGGGGTGGGAAAATGTAAAAAAGTGCAAGGAGATTGTACCACGTGGTGATAGTGTGGTGCCTTCTGATGCCACCTACTTGTGCTTACATATAGAAATAATTATTTTATCGTGATTACCCTCATAAAACTTTTCGTAGATAATTTATTTACAATGTTAATGCAACAAATTCCACCTTCTTATCTCAAATAGCAAGCTTGATAGAACTCATTACATATAATTATCTCTCATGTGGTTCAGTCAAGTACATGAAGTGAATAACAGGTCAGACCCTGAGTGTCTCACAGGAGAGCACCTCACTAAACCCAGGAGTGTTACAATGTTGGAATAGGAAATTGTCTCAAAGTTTTTACAAAAAGAATTGCAGAAATATTAGTCATTTGGTTTAGTTTTATTCCTCCAGTCGATGTTGTTGTGCTGTCTATAAACGTTCTTATATTTCTTGGGTTTAATAAACTGTAATTTGGGGATATATAAATACAGTACAGTACAGTAAACCTCTTCCCTTCAGTTTAATTTAACACCAGCCAGCCTCACCTGCTGGCTGGCTCTAAGGTCTTGCCTAACATAGATAACCAAACCCCTCTTGCAAGAGGCCTGAGAAAGCTTCATAAATGAGTCATATCCATCTAAATTAAACTCACATTCCTCCGGCTCAGTTCTCCTGTTCTTATACAACAGTTCTACAACACCTACTATATCGGGTTAGTGTACCTTCAGTAGAGCTTCAAACTCCGCTTACTAGTCAAGTAAAGTGTCACTTTTAGTGTACTGTACATTATTCTCAAGTCGGAAATAGTCATCTGTAGTGAATCTGAGCTCAGGAGTGGTTGTGGCTTCCTTCCATTCTCAACAACTGCCTCATTTACTGACCTCACAGTATTGTGTGGGATGTGGCCAGAAATTTCATTGTTTACATGGTCGGTCCACGCTTCCTTCTGTCCTTAAATAATACCATCTAGGTTTTATTCAGTGTCCTCAGCTCTCTTGGGGCAGCCTTTACCATGTAGTACAGTAAGACAGAGGGCGAGTTCAGACACATTTTAGGAAAAAAAAAAGTGCATCTAGATTAAACACACACGACTTCATGCTATATGAGCGTATGTTTTCAAGTGTACGCTCACCTCCCCAATCCTCCTCCCCGTCATCATCTTCTAGCACCACGATAACTTCATTCATGAAGTAGCTTTTGTAAATCCTCTTAATAGCAGCTATTATGCCTTGATCCATCGGCTGGATATGAGATGTTGTATTGGGAGACATAAACATACACTTAATTTTGCCGTTGCTGCTGGTCAAGCTCTCAATACCTGGATGCGCAGGAGCGTTATCCAACAAAATAACGGCTTTCACATCCTCTGGCTTCACTTCCTTTTCTTCTATTTGAAATTTTCTTATTTCAACTTCAGTTTTCAGAAACCAGTCCAAGCAAATGTCGCAGGTGAACCAACAGAAGGGTTATTATAATAATACACTGGTGATTTATGCATTACATCCTTTAACACTCTAGGCTGCCTCGACTTCCCCACCATCGCAGGTTTCAACCGATGTGATCCATCAGTGTTGGCGCAAAATAACGCAGACACTCTCTGTTTATTCAGTTTCCGACCAGGTTGGCTAGAAGATTTCTTTTCTGCTTGTGTCTTCTTTGGGACTGCCTTCCAAAATAACCCGGTTTCGTCTGCATTGTAAAGCTGAAATTTTTCAAGTTTGACAGACTGAATGAGTTCGTTCAATTTCTCACGAAAAGGCTCTATAGCCTCAAGATCTGCACTGAGACTCTCACCACGCACAGGATTATTACTGATGCCATGGCGCTTACGAAACCGCCAAAGTCAACCAGAACTAACCTTGAAATCTGCCACACCAAGATGCTGGGCAAGACGTTCAGCAGCATGCTGGATGTCTCAACCATGACCGGGAACACCAGTTGATCTTTGTTGTGAAAACCACCTGTAAACCGATTCTTCTAATTCACTACCTTTCGGCAATTTCAATGTTTTTCTGATTGAGGTGGCTTCCTTTCCCTTTTCACTAATGTCAAACTTAAGAGAAAACCCTTTATCTTATCCTGATTATGCCTCAGGTCTTTCACTGTTGTAACACCTACATTATACTCAGCCGCGAGGCTTGCTATTGATCTTGCTTCCTTCAATTGGTTTAGTATTTTCAACTTATCATTAATACTAAGCACAACACGCTTCCTTTTGCCTTTAGTTGGGGGCATTGTCACTTTAGCAAATACGTGGAAGCACAAATACGCAGTCAGAAGGAGATGCTTACTCGGCAGTATCTCGACGAAGACTAAGGCCTGATCAGTGTTGCCAGCTTGATAGGTACTCATGGCGCCCAATTAAAACAAAAATGCGGCCAATATGAAATCTGTGTAAGTACAGTACACAAAAAAATATATACGGTACGTGCAATATATTTTTTTCCATAAAATGCATATTATTGTGAGTGACGCCTCACTCACACCAGCTGTCCTGCATGAGTCAAGCGCCCGGTAGCATCAGGTCCAAGTCATGTTCGATATCACACGGGTGATGCACCACAAAAAACTTTAAGTTTTCAGAGCTTTTCGGTTTTCGTAATTCTGGATAAAGAATTGTCAACCTGTATAAGATTTGTTTATTTCATGTACTATATGCACTGAGTAAACAAAAAAAATTTTAATCTAAGCACTATATGCACTGGGATACGGAAAATCAAGTTTATATATTTATTTTAGGGGTCTGGGATCGACGGTTAATCCAAAAGTCGGTTAATCGAGGTTTTACTGTATTTACTCAAATGGGAATTAATTTAAGCCTTAGAACCGATTACTGTATTGGCGGACTAATATTCCAGCTGGTGAGCAAGCGAAAACATGTTGAGAGGAAGTCATAAGGAATTCGTTAACCGAATTCCATATTCTTATGGAAGGTAATTCGTTAACCGAAATTTCGTTAACCGAAGCGTTTGTTAACCGAGGGACCACTGTATACGGAAACATAAATGTGAGAGGCGGGCGTCTCACACAGTAGAAGGTCTAGTGAAGTATTTATTTGTTTATTTATGTCCTTTAGATTGAGTTTTTGTTTTTTGCTTATACAATGTCATAGACGTGACTGGGTAGAATATAGTTTACATTGCTAGAATTCTTATAAGATAGTGATTAAGTTGAATATAAACATGCCATAGTTTGCACTAGACAAAATTTTAGTAATCATTTTGTACATTATTCTGATTACATGTACAGTTCAGCTTTGCCCTTAGGACAGTGTGTGCATGTAAATGAGTTTCAATAAATGAATAAAGTTACATATATATGTATTGCCAAAATTATTAGTTGAAAAACTTTATGTACACAGCTTGAATGGCTAAATTTTAGAATGACCAATAATTTTAATATAGAAAATGCAAAAATATTCAAGAGACCAATTTTCTTGATATTTACTCCACTGGAACGAATGTAAACATAGAACAGATTACTGTATTGGCGGACTAGCCCATCAGCTGATGCTCACAACAAAACGTGTTTGTCTTAAGGATTTCGTTAATCGAAGTTTTGTTCTTTAACCGAATTGAAGATCCTTATGGGAGCCAATTCGTTAACAGAAATTTCGTTAATCAAACCGTTCGTTAACCGAGGGACCACTGTACTTATGTATTACTTTAGGATATTTCGTGTTTATTAAAGTCTTTTGTTACTAAACTATATTTTATATAAAAAAATCTGGTTTTGTGACAATTTATCCGGATTAAAAATACCAAACTTTATCATGTATATTGGACGAGATTTTTGGGATTAGCTTTATACGGAAAACTCCCTATACCCAACTGGCTGCTCCCCAAGTAGCGTACAGTAGAGACAATACAGTACAGTAGTGTATTAATTCAAGTTCTTTACAACTGAGATATAAAATGTTTGAAATGTGATTGAAGACACACATTAACTGACAACAATGACTTATGGGAGAACTTACCTCTCATCTTCAGGCAACTTTGGGAAGCAGTAGAGTATTCGACCTGGTGGATAGAGTGGAATCTCTGTGTGTCTGGGAACCTGAGGTCTGTGTGTCCCATCCTCAGAGAAGGTGACCTGTACGTCCTCAAGGCTCTCCTGCACACAGGGGGATGATTGCTATAAATAATTGAAAATATTACAAGTGATTTGTTGCATTGTACATTAACATTCTATGACATCTTAAACAAGAAAGAAAAAAAACTCCACAGAAGAGAATAGTACAGAGTAGGACAGCACAGTACAGTACAGTATAGTACAGTACAGTACAGTACAGCACAATACAATACAATACAATACAATACAATACAGCACAGCACAGCACAGCACAGCACAACATAACATAACACAACACAGCACAACACAGCACAACGTAACAGCACAACATAACACAACACAACACCACATAACACAAGTACAATACAGTAGAACAATTTAGTACAATATAGTAGGACAGTACAGTATAGTAATACAGTACAGTAGAACAATTTAGTACAGTATAGTAATACAGTACAGTAGAACAATTTAGTACAGTATAGTAGTACAGTGGTCCCTCGGTTAACGAGAGCCTCGGTTAACGAGATTTCGGTTAACGACTTACATTCCATAAGATTCATAACTTCGGTTAACGAGCAATCCCTCGATTAACGAGTTTCTTACGAGCCGACCTGAACATGATTTCACTTGCATTTGGCGGTCCACCAGCTGTAGTATTAGTCCGCCAATACAGTAATCGGTACTAGGGCTTAAATTCCTTACCATTTTAGCAAATATCAAGAAGTTTATACTATTCAATAATTTTAAAAGTTCAATATTAATTTTTTTACTCATTTTAACAATTATTGAACATAATTGAAGGTAATGAAACTAGTTTTATGCGCGCCATCCAGCCTCTCAACACACCATACAGGCGTCAGTCTTTATGTCTTTTCAGTGGAGGTAACATCTTGCTTGAGACTCTCTTCAACTAAAAGCTTTTTTCTGTGTTTGCAAGCAAATTATTGGTCATTTTGAAATTTATTTTACATATTGACAATATATAATGCAGTGCAGTGTTGATTTAAAGAAAATAATCTTGAATTGCACCAAGAGAACTAAAATTTTATGGGTGAAATGGCGCCATGGGGTGACTTCTCTTCCACCCCAATGCCTTCTCTTCTCCCTTCTCCTCCACCCCCATTCTAATTCCCATCATCATCATCCAGGAGCCTTCTACATACACACCTCAAAGTAAGTGTACTTTTCTACCTTTTTTGTTGAATTTAGGCAATTTTTGGTGAGCTTGAACCAATTACCCAAAAACCCATTGAAACAATGGTTTCCGTTAACGAGTTTTTCGGTTAACGAGCAACCTTCTAGAACGGATTGTGCTCGTTAACCGAGGGACCACTGTACAGTACAGTAGAACAATTTAGTACAGTACAGTAGTACAGAACAGTATAATAGTACAGTACAGTATAACAGTACAGTATAGTAGAACAGTCCAGTACAGTAGTACAGTAGAACAATTTAGTACAGTATAGTCATAGAGTATAGTATAGTAGAACAGTACAGTAGAACAATTTAGTACGGTATAGTAGTACAGTACAGTATAACAGTACAGTACAGTATAGTAGAACAATTTAGTACAGTATAGTAGTACAGTACAGGATAACAGTACAGTACAGTATAGTAGTATAGTACAGTATAGTAGTACAGTACAAGTATAGTAGAACAATTTAGTACAGCATAGTAGTACAGTACAGTATAGTAGTAGAGTACAGTAGAACAACTTATTACAGTATAGTTGTACAAGGTCGCCCAGTCATCAAAACATTACCGAGTTCTTCACCCGCCACCCACCACAGCCAGCCCAAGTCAGTGATAGTGATAATTATAGTGAGGATATAGACTTATGTGGACTTTGAGGGGTTTGACAAAGAGGCCCTGCAAGCCTCTGTGGTGGATAGTGATACAATTGATACAAGTGATACAGGTGAGGGCCAATAATCTGCCCTCTGCCGCGGAACCAACCCCCCATCCCCGTGTGCCCAGCCATCTTTTCTACTAATGTAAGTGTTAAAAAACCTAATATTATTGATATTTCTCTTAATTATTAATTGTGTGTGCATACCATCATAAAATTAAGAAGTTATTTTTACTACAACGTAGGTATTGTGTCTGAAAAAGTGGAGTTTGGGGGTCGGCCCGGTCTCTATTTCAATTAATCCCATATGTTATGTTGTTCACTTTACGCGTTTCTCACTTTCCGCGGTACCCTGTGGGTTGAATTAACCGCGTAAGGTGAGGGATGACTGTACTCTGTATAGACAAGCAGAGAGAGAGAGAGAGCAGCCGAACTGCTGGATGTAAACAAACCTTAATTTCCCGCGGCTTTGTTGTTGTTGTTTTTTTAAGGGGATTAGCCCAACCGGGCATAGGTCACTGACCCACATTGGGGCCTGAGGGGCAAAAATTTAATACTCCTGTAATAATAATAATAATTCAGGTAAAAAAACAAACAAAAAAAGCTGCCTATCGACCTATTGGACAAACTAAAATCGTTCCGAACCACGGGAGTTTCCGGACCACAGAATGCCGGACAAATGAGGTACAACCTGTAGTACAGTACAGTATAGTAGTACAGTGCAGTAGAACAATTTAGTACAGTATAGTAGTACAGTACATTATAGTAGCACAGTACAGTAGAACAATTTAGTATGGTATAGTAGTACAGTACAGTAGAACAATTTAGTACAGTATAGTAGTACAGTACAGTATAGTAGTACAGTACAGCATAGTAGTACAGTACAGTAGAACAATTTAGTACAGTATAGTAGTACAGTACATTATAGTAGCACAGTACAGTAGAACAATTTAGTACAGTATAGTAGTACAGTACATTATAGTAGCACAGTACAGTAGAACAATTTAGTACAGTATAGTAGTACAGTACAGCATAGTTGTACAGTACAGTATAGTAGTACAGTACAGGATAACAGTACAGTACAGTATAGTAGTACAGTTCAGTATAGTAGTACAGAACAGCATAGTAGTACAGTACAGTAGAACAATTTAGTACAGTATAGTAGTACAGTACAGTATAGTAGTACAGTACAGTATAGTAGTACAGTACAGTAGAACAATTTAGTACAGTATAGTAGTACAGTACATTATAGTAGCACAGTACAGTAGAACAATTTAGTACAGTATAGTAGTACAGTACAGCATAGTTGTACAGTACAGTATAGTAGTACAGTACAGGATAACAGTACAGTATAGTAGTACAGTTCAGTATAGTAGTACAGTACAGCATAGTAGTACAGTACAGTAGAACAATTTAGTACAGTATAGTAGTACAGTACAGTATAGTAGTACAGTACAGTATAGTAGTACAGTACAGTATAGTAGTACAGTACAGTAGAACAATTTAGTACAGTATAGTAGTACAGTACATTATAGTAGCACAGTACAGTAGAACAATTTAGTACAGTATAGTAGTACAGTACAGCATAGTTGTACAGTACAGTATAGTAGTACAGTACAGGATAACAGTACAGTACAGTATAGTAGTACAGTTCAGTATAGTAGTACAGTACAGTAGAACAATTTAGTACAGTACATTATAGTAGCACAGTACAGTAGAACAATTTAGTACAGTATAGTAGTACAGTACAGGATAACAGTACAGTACAGTATAGTAGTACAGTTCAGTATAGTAGTACAGTACAGCATAGTTGTACAGTACAGCATAGTTGTACAGTACAGTATAGTAGTACAGTACAGTATAGTAGTACAGTACAGGATAACAGTACAGTACAGTACAGCATAGTTGTACAGTACAGTATAGTAGTACAGTACAGTATAGTAGTACAGTACAGTATAGTAGTACAGTACAGTAGAACAATTTAGTACAGTATAGTAGTACAGTACAGCATAGTAGTACAGTACAGTAGAACAATTTAGTACAGTATAGTAGTACAGTACAGTATAGTAGTACAGTACAGTAGAACAATTTAGTACAGTACAGCATAGTAGTACAGTACAGTAGAACAATTTAGTACAGTATAGTAGTACAGTACAGTATAGTAGTACAGTACAGTATAGTAGTACAGTACAGTAGAACAATTTAGTACAGTATAGTAGTACAGTACATTATAGTAGCACAGTACAGTAGAACAATTTAGTACAGTATAGTAGTACAGTACAGTATAGTAGTACAGTACAGGATAACAGTACAGTACAGTATAGTAGTACAGTTCAGTATAGTAGTACAGTACAGCATAGTTGTACAGTACAGTATAGTAGTACAGTACAGGATAACAGTACAGTATAGTAGTACAGTCCAGTATAGTAGTACAGTACAGCATAGTAGTACAGTATAGTGGTACAGTACAGGATAACAGTACAGTGTAGTAGTACAGTACAGTATAACAGTACAGCATAGTAGTCCAGTACAGTATAGTAGTACAGTACAGTAGAACAATTTAGTACAGTATAGTAGTACAGTACATTATAGTAGCACAGTACAGTAGAACAATTTAGTACAGTATAGTAGTACAGTACAGTATAGTAGTACAGTACAGGATAACAGTACAGTACAGTATAGTAGTACAGTTCAGTATAGTAGTACAGTACAGCATAGTTGTACAGTACAGTATAGTAGTACAGTACAGGATAACAGTACAGTATAGTAGTACAGTCCAGTATAGTAGTACAGTACAGCATAGTAGTACAGTATAGTGGTACAGTACAGGATAACAGTACAGTGTAGTAGTACAGTACAGTATAACAGTACAGCATAGTAGTCCAGTACAGTATAGTAGTACAGTACAGCATAGTAGTACAGTATAGTAGTACAGTACAGAATAACAGTACAGTGTACTGTAGTAGTACAGTACAGTATAACAGTACAGCATAGTAGTACAGTACAGGATAACAGTACTAGAGTGTAGTAGTACAGTACAGTATAGTAGTACAGTACAGTATAACAGTATGGTACAGTATAGGACAACAGTACAGTGTAGTAGTACAGTACAGTATAACAGTACAGCATAATAGTACAAAACAGTATAGTAGTACAGTACAGGATAACAGTACAGTATAGTAGTACAGTACAGTGTAGTAGTATGGTACAGTATAGTAGTACAGTACACGATAACAGTACAGTGTAGTAGTACAGTACAGTATAACAGTACAGCATAGTAGTACAGTACAGTATAGTAGTACAGTACAGTGTAGTAGTACAGTACAGTGTAGTAGTATAGTAGTACAGTATAGTAGCACAGTACAGGAT